TTTAAAAATACAATAATAAATTTGAAAAAAATGCAGGATAATATAATTGTCATATATGCCACGATTTTTTTACAATGATATTCACTTTAATTCCACACGATACAACAATTTAACAACATGTATTTTTTTGCGTTCAAAATTATAAAAATTGAAAATACATTTTCAATGCAAAACTACATAAAAAATATAATACAGTTTTGCATTAGAAATATAATAACATGTATGTTTTTTGTATAAATATTCTATCAACATGCAATTTTTTTCAACAAAAACTTTAACAATAAAAATTAAAAATATGGTTTAATACCTCATGATAATCAAAACCTGGTCACTATTTTCACATCTTTTCAGAAAATCAGATTTTTAAAATAAAATCCATCATGTACAAAAAAAAAAAAACAAATAAAAACAATTCTTCATAGAGCCACCTAACATAAGTTATTCCAACTCAAAAATGCATTAACAACAGATTAAAAAAATACAGTTTTGCATTAAAAATATAATAACATGCATTTTTTGCATAAATAATCTATCAACATACAATTTTTTCAACAAAAACTTTAACAATAAAAATTTAAAATATGGTTTAATACCTCATGATAATCTAAACCTTGTCACGATTTTCACATCTTTTCGGAAAATCATCATTTTTCAAAAAATTTGATCATGGATAAAAAAAAAAAAAAAAACTACAGCAAATTTTCATAAAATTCGACCATGGATTACAAAAAAAAACAAAAAAACAATTTGATCATGGATTACAAAAAATAAAAAAAAAATAAAAAATAAAAAATCTGTTCTTCACAGAGCCATCTTACATAAGCCATTTTAACTAAAAAATCCACTTCCAAGCAAATAAATTACATCCAATTGAGTACATTTTCTGATAAACAACAATATAAGAAATCAAAACCCTAAATTTTGAACACATTATCATCTATAAATCAAATCAAATCGATTAAAATGAGCAAAAAAACAAAAAACGCAGTTCTTCACAGACAACAATCATTGAATCTAAAAAATGAAGCTCAAATTGAATAAATCAAATCAAATTGAGTACATATAATTATAAACAAGACTATAACGATTAAAAACCCTAGAAATCTAACACATTAATTGTAATATATCATGAACAAAAAATCGAATGGACGGAAAAAAAAAAAAAAAAAACAAGCAGAAATTTTCTTCCCAGACATCACTGTGTTCATCTAAAAAATCAGGCTGTAATTGAGCAAATTAAACAAAATTGAATATGTTACATGATAAAAGACACAATAACGATTAAAAACCCTACAAATGTAACTCATTATTTTCAAAATCTGCAGTGAAATTGATCATATGGCGGAAAAAAAAAAAAAACCCAAAGTTCTTACCTGGTTTCGTGAACTCGGGCCTTCAATCTCCAAATTACTCTGTTTTTCTCAATGATTCTCACAAATTCATAACAGAATGTTTTGATGAACAACTTTACGATCAAAATGACTACAAATATTCACAGATTCATGCTCTATTTGGCATGAAACACAGGGAAAGGCGGAAACCCTAAAAACCCAACTTTCATGATAAAAAAAAACGAAATTTCTCCACCATTTAATCCATGAAAAGGCTGAAAAAATCTGTATAAAGCCTGCATATTCGATCACAGGGCAAAAAAAAACAAAAAAAATGATAAAAAAATGACAAATTTTGAAGAATCCCGTGAAGAACACTGTGCAGCCCGTGTTCTTCACGGGACTCGCCGATTCCGTACAGTGAATCGGCGAGTCACTGTACAGAATCGCCCGGTTCTCTCTAGAACTGGGTGATTCCGTGTTTTTTGACCAATTCGGCACGTCTAGTACCGATTCCTGAGTCGAACCGGCGTTTTTTTAATCACTGCTCTAGACTATTGGGCATATACTCTTGCATCAACCATTGCGTGGATAAAAGTTCCTCCCGATATTAGTTTTATGGAAAATCTGTACTTCATTACCCGCTATGTTACATTGAAATGGACATGCGTGTCTATTTGTGATAAGAATGCGAGTATCACAAACATGAACCCAAAAATCTTACATCTATACATGACACATTTGTAAAATATATGCGTGTCCATGTATATATACATGTCTACATATACATATGTTGAAAATTTTCAAACAATTCACATGTGCATTTAAATATTCGACAATTCTAGTTAAGCATAATAGAAACAAATAAATTAACTTAACAGTCCAAAAATATGTTACTCCGTGAATCACAATTTTATTCGTGCCATGAAACTCTTGTGGCCATATCTCTTGACTTAAATTACAGCAAAGTAATAAGATAAAATAAAAAGGTCGCAGCAAAAAGTCCTAGCTCTCATATAAAATAAGAGTAAGACTATTTGACCCGGGCAAGTGAATATTGATTAAAGCCAAAAACTATTAGTTAATTATTTGTTCAAAATGTGGCACCTTCTTGCATAGCTATTGAATAGGGATGTAATGTATTTAATCCAACGCATACCATCGCATTGCTTGCATCCTCAATAGAAAATAAAAATAGTTTTTATTTTTATTATTCAGATATATTTTATTTTTTAAAACAATTATTGTTCATTGAAAACTGACATTTTTAAAATTCAAAAACAAAAATTCCAAAAAAAAAATGTGTAAAAAAAAACTGCCATTAGACACTCCATAAAAGTGTCTAAAAAATCAAACCACGTGTCTAGACCTTGGGACACGTCTCTCCATATTTCAAGTGTTACAAAAAAAGAAAAAAAAAGGACCTAGTTTCCATGTGGCCAAGTTCACGTGTGTAGAAATGCAAGCTTCTTAATAAATTTATTTTTGAGATGGATTTTAAGATGATCTCCATGTAATCTTTAACATTATCTCCATGTAATCTCTAACATTGGAGATAATAAATATGAAAAAATAAATAAATTTTAAAAAACGTAACAAGAAAACATTTGGACTGTTCGCTTCCGGTCTTTTTAGATGGAACGTTTACGTGCATCCATCTTCAAGATGATGGTTTACACTTTCTGGACCGTATATGTAGAAATGCGGTGCAGCCCGCATGAAGCAATTTTCCTCCGGTAAATCGTTGAATGTTTGAATTAAGAATGAAAATGGCGTGCAGCATCTCGCCACCTAAGAAACGGAAAGCTCATTACGCTTGATTTTTATGTTAAGATTCATTGCACGTCTAGTTATGTATGGTCAATGGAGATGCCGTTTCTCACTTTTAGCACTTCGTCACTCAAAAACACGCTAACCCTAACCTTGGCAGCTCCACCGTCTTCACTCCTTAGAGCTCTGCAATTTCCTCAAAGGAAGGGCATTCGTCCTGTTTCCGCAGCCATGTCCACTGTTACTCCTGTTGAAGAGGCCTCCAAATCCCCTCCTCTTCAGGTAAGTAAAAACGAGAATAAACCCTAAATCTATTCTTCTTGGTGTTTATGGGTTTGAATTGCTTGATTTGGGTATTAGTTATGTGATTGTTAGGCTTGTATTTTGAGCACTCAACTGATGTATACTTTTATTTGATCCGTTATGAGATGTATTCTTTCATTTGTTCCGTTATGAGAGAACTTCAGTCATTTTATTTGTTTGCGGAGAGGATTACTGGTCTGAAACTGGATTCCTTTTTATTTTGGCATTGCTGTTTGTACCCATGTTTTTACCATCTCTACTTGCGTTTTTGCTTTTCTCACCCAAAACACGGGCGACACTATCACACCTCGACTGCCTAGATTTTCTGCTTATGGCAAAAGCCAGGGCAAACCCTTGTTTCTTCCTTTTTATTTCCTTTTTTCTTGTTGTCGTCTCGTCATAGTTGTTGTGGAATTAGCAGACACCATCATATCAAGTAGTCTTAAAAATGTCTGTTTTCTATATTTTGTTACTTGAAGAACATTTCATAAGGCTTTGGATTAAAACACAGGATGTACTATGTCACAAGATTGTTCATAGGGAGTTCTCCTAACTTAGGAAAAGTATCATCTAAGGACTTGAAACATCTTGCACAAAAATTTAAGGGGTCAAATGATCCTCCTCAGTGTTCCAAGACTCGGTTGAGTGGCCTATGGCCGAGGTGATTGGAGGGGCCAACACACCCTTGGAATTCTCTCTCTAAAAATAAGCCAGATCTTCTCCCCCTTTTCATCTCTCCCTCTTTCTCAAAAAGGGGCAGATCAGCCCTCCTTTTCATCTCTCTCTAAAAAGGGTGTCCTTTTCATCTCTCCCTCTTTCTCAAAGAGGGGCAGATCAGCCCTCCTTTTCCTCTCTCTCTAAAAAGGGTGCAGTTCTGACCCTTTCCATTTCTCATTCTCTATCCATCTGTCTCTCTCAAAGGGGGTGAAACTGCCCCCTTTTCATCTGTCTTCTCTAAAAGGGCGCATATCTGCATCCTTGCAACTCTCTCTCTCGTACAAAGGGGAAGAAATCCACTCGCTGTTCTCTCTCTCTCTCTAAGAGGTGGCCAGATCCACCCCCTTATTCATCTCTCTCTCACTCAAAGGAGGCAGAAATCTTACCCTTGCTTTCCTTTGCCCCCTGATTTTTCCCCTTTTTTGGGAATCCTTTTTTTTTTTAATGGTTTTTCTGAGGCTTACGCTACTCGGCCAACTCCACTTGAACTCGCCCGAGTAACTCCGCTCAGCTTGGGGTTGAGCCCATGGACCAAGCTGAGTTATAAAACATTTATCCTAATTAACATTTGAGTGTGTTTTTTTTTTTTTTCATTTTAATCAAGTAAAATTACTCAAGTACCTCCTTAAAACATTGATCCTATTTAACATTGGCCTGTGTCTGCCCTTTACTTGATTTTTCCCCTTTTTTTGGGAACCTGTTTTTTCTTTTTTCTTTTGTATGGTTTTTTTGAGGCATGCACTACTAGGCCAATTCCACTTGAACTCTCCCCAGTAACTTGGCTCGGGCAAAGGTTGAGCCCATGGCCCAAACTGAGTTGGAGAACATTGATCCTAATTAGCATTTAAGTGTTGCTTTTTTATTTTCTTCTTACAAAGGTAATTTTTCTCAGCTACCTCCTCAAAAAAAAAAAAGTACTAGAAAATTCCCAATTTGCCCTTGTTTTGGGTTGGGAAGTTTGAACAAGTAGGGGCATTTCATTAATTCGGACCCCCAGGAGGCCCCAACCACATAATCCAAATAGCTCTGCTTGTTCAGGTTTACAAATAAGGAGCACACTGTTTATAGTTCCGAATGAGGAACAATTAGGGTATTTATGTGATTTTACACATGCGTAGGGCATTTGGGTGCCAAATGACAAAAATACCCCTAGTTATTAATTAGTAGAACAATGTATTCCTTTTTGCGAGATATTGAACAAGCAGAAGTATTATTGTCTTCAGTTGGGCCTCTTGGGTGTCAACTTATTAAAATGCCTCTGATTGTTTAGGCTTTGCAATCTTGAACAAGGTTAATTTGAGATTTTCTTTTTACAGTTACACGTATCCTATTACCATTTGGAAATCCGGTATCACTTTCAGTATGAACCTGATATAGTTTCACTGCCAATATGTCAAACATATGCATGTATTTGTGCGTTACAGACTCATAGGGGTAGGATGACTTCTACAGTGTGGTAGTGCTCAGAGTTTATGTTGTGTGGTCTCGTTGTCTTTCTCAGATGAGCAATGAAGAAGCTCAAGTTACGATGACGATCAATGATTTTTTGAGGACAGATTTTTTAACTCTTACTAAATGTATTAAAAACTAGCTAATTAAACCCTTGTCAGATCCTCGACCACTCTTTGTTAATTGCTTTTCTGGGTAGCTGGCCCTTCCCCTTTATATTTGACTGCATTTGGTTTTAAGCATCTGAATCTTAAAGTTGATGTAAAGAAATGGCATGGGGTCTATCATGGTCAAGGTTGGGTTATCTTAAGAGTCCCGCAGAAATTGCAGTGGATAAAGGAAAAATTAAAATTTAGACATATAGTGCGGAGGTCACTAGGAGATGGAGAGACACAAAGCAAAGATTCTTGAAGGGTGCCACTCTGGAAGAAGAGGACAAATGCCTATTTTGGAAGAGGAGGATAGTTGTACAGTACCATTGAGAGTTTCTTACCAGGATTTGTTGCATCTAGAGGAGATTCATTCATGATGAAGTCTTAAGCTTTGTGCTAGAAAGAAGGGGATTACAATACTACTTTCTTCCTTAAATTGGCTAGTGCTAGAATTAGGAAAATCATTGTGGAACATTATCGTTGATCAGAGACCATATCTGATGGAGGTAAGGTTGTTGTCATGGTGGGATTTTCAAATGTCTACTCATCAATGGAGTTTGCCCTTGGCCTAAGATTAGGACCATGCCTAGGAATTGTGCGATTTGGTTGGATAGGCCTTTGATATCAAGTTGAGTTAGGACCATGGCTTTTAGTGTGCCCAGTGGTAAGGCTGTACGGCTTGATTTCCCCTTGGTGGTTTCTTCCCTAGAATTTTGATATTTTGAGGACAGTTTAATTGAATCCTTTAGAAAGCATAATTTTGATCTTTTGAGGCCAGTTTAATTAAGTTCTTTAGGATTAATGCATGGTTGGATGCCCATGAGAGCTCAAATGCTCCTCATTGCAGTAGTTCTGAAAAGAGCAGAGGCAGGAATTTTTTATTTTACCCTTATAAGTCTCATAGGGGGTTTGTGTAAGGTTTTGCAGAGGCTATTATAATGCTCCTTTAGTTCCACTTAGTGTGACATGAACCTTGATCATTTCCCTGATCAGGGTTGCTTTGTATGAAGGAGGTTGGTTTGCTATAGTGTTTTACTTGGCCATGAATTGTTGGATTTGATATTCAAATCTCAGGAATTTATTTACCCAAAGAGGAAAAAATTAAATCTTAGAAACTTTGCCCTGTAGTCTATATGTTTGACAAAAACGAAAAGGAAAAGCCGTTAGATGGATAGACAGTTTATATGTTGAGACAAGAAGGTGTTAGGAGCCTGCTGATTCAAGGGGTGTCGGTTTTTATATCCACCACAATATTTTAAATAGTAATTTTAGGCTCTTTCAAAATTTTGGAAGCACTTATTGGCTTGTAGAATTCTTATTTATTCAACTGAGGAATTAATCTAGCGGTTGGCCTTGTTGATTGCACGTTGAAAAATTTACTCCCTTAAGTTTGAGTCTCCTATCAAGAGCGGTTAGTCATTTATCAAAAAGGAAAAAACATATAGAATGCTTGGGTCATGCTCTAATACTTTATTAGATTCAGAAAAATGGTGTGGATCTCATTACTTAGACTGAGAATTAATTTCACATGAGAAATTTATGAAACGACACATAAGAGTTGAATTATTTGTCACTTAGTTATTTTGAACTAATTCCAAATGTCCCATCATTCTTTTTTATCTAATTTTAAATGGCATTTTTTAATTTTGCCCCCCCCCATAAAAAGAAAGTCATATTTTTAGAAACCGCCAACTGGCAAGAAAGTGGGATGGTAGAGGCTTTGAGACTGCTTTTCAAAAGACAAATATAAACAGTCTTGAAAGCTGAGGAGGGACTGGTTTGAGTCCCTCGAAAACTCTATATTTCTTCTAAACCCCGAAATGATTCTACCCCGAATTTAGCAAATTCATAATATTTCAACACCAGAAAGCTATCATCATATTCAATACTAGAGTCATTTGAACCTCAGAGTAGACATCATCAAACCTGAGTTCTGCAGGTGAGGAGAGGAGGTGAAAATGATTGCCTACAGAGTCTGCTTCTACAATTACTTTTTACTGGTGTTGGTATTGTACCATTTTTAGACTCTTTCTCTCTCTCTCTCTAGTACCTTTTTGGGCTCTCTCTCCTCCCCCCTCTCTCTTTCTCTCTCTCTCTCTCTCTCTCTCTCTCTCTCTCTCTCTCTCTCTCTCTCTCTCTCTCTCTCTCTCTCTCTCGTCTCTCTCTCTCTCTCTGGGTGTTTGGGTCAATAGAAGAGAGGAAATGGTCACAAATGAATAGGGGGCTCTCTCCTCTCTTTCTTGGGGTTTTTAGGCAGAGAATATATACAGAAGTTCCGCCCATAATGGTTCCATTTCCATTCTGAGATGAAGAGAGGTAGGGAGCTTTGTTTTCCATGGAAATCCTACTGTTTTCCACATGGTGAGACTATTGGTGATTTTGAATCCGTCATTTTTTCAGAAATCCTGATTTTCCTTCCTAATTTCTTGGATTTCCTTCCATGGAAATCCTGAGCTCTGCTTTCCACAGAGAGAGACTATTGGGTTTCCACTCACATGTTTCTGCATTATTTTATTGACTGTGCAACTTCTGAACATGGCCAGTTTGGTTTCATCGGTTTCTATGGTGGATTCAGATACCGTTAATTTAATTTTGAGTGGAGCTGTCGAAGTTGGACTTTGGGACCAGTGTGCTATGCAGAGCCTACTATAAAACTGGAGTTTTTATGTCTGCTGAAAAATTTTCTGCTGCAAGACTGAAACTTTGGAAACTTGTACTAATGTGAACCTTTTTCTTCATGTACTTCGGACTGGCAATTATTCATTGGAATATCCGGCACAATTTTCTCAGAACGTTACCAAATTTGTGTATAGTTGACGGTCTTTTTTGTCAAGCTTTCAAACTTCTGCCGATGAATCCTGTGTCCTATCCTTGTAACTAAGAATCTCGCATTGCTGTTTGTCAAATTACACCCATAGTTATCTGATCATTGCATCATGTTTTCCTTTGTTCGAACTAAGGGGCATTTGCGTTAGTGGAGCTCACTCCATTCTGTCCCTTAGTTTGGAAATTTAAGGGGCATCATTCTCAACATGAAAATCCAATTATGCTATTTTAGAGGTGCTTAGAGCATCCAAAAGTTTTAAATGCCCCAGATTTCCTTTAAAAATCCATTACTTATCAGGGCATGAGAGTTGCTCTTAAATGTCCTATAGCTTTCCTGTTGCACTGTTAGTAATTTTCCTCCATGTGAAAAAAGAAAAGAAAAGAAAAGGGAAAGATAATGAGATTGTCATTCGTTGAAAAATGCAATTTTTTCGATGGGCTGTTGAAATGGGAGGTTGTCTTGTTTTTCTTGTTATCGGTAAATGAGGGTGCACTAAAGAGGCTCTGAGGAGGTGGTGTACAATGATCTTCTTGATGAAACAAGCTTAACTTTGGGCCTCTGTTAGTTTCCAGCCAACAGATGCTTGTTAGCTGCTTGTTGCTTAGGAAAAACGAAAAAAAATACGAAAATGGAACTAGATTTTTATAATAGCAATGACATAAGAATTAAATAGAGAATTAAATAGAGACTTAAATACTGCTGCATTCCGGCATTTTTGACAATCACGTTATCACCATACAATATTGGTGGATCTTAATATTTGCTACTCTTATTCTGGATGGCTTTTCTTTAGTAATTCCTTGTTCCATATATCCATAAATTAAGCAATATATTACATTAGACCTATACATGCTTGTGATTATATAAACTGTGGGGTGATATGTATGTGTACTTATGTGTTTCCAGTATGCACACCATATATACATTTATCTATGAATGTAAGTGTGTGTTAGTATGTATGGTAAGACTCACTTGACCATGATTCCCGTGTGCTTCTGCTTGTGAACCATGAAACATGCACTCCATGGCAGGAGCATCAATCTTGTTGAAGGTCATGGTTCCATATTGTAAGAAAATTCAATTGACAAGGTCACACCTTGCAGGTGGCTAAGCGCTTGGAGAAGTTCCAGACCACAATCTTCACCCAAATGAGTAGCCTCGCCCTCAAATATGGTGCGATAAACCTCGGCCAGGGCTTCCCCAACTTTGATGGCCCTGAATTTGTGAAGGAGGCTGCCATCAAAGCCATAAGGGAAGGCAAGAACCAATATGCCAGGGGTTATGGCATCCCTAATTTAAACTCAGCCATAGCCGACCGTTTCAAGAAAGACACTGGCATCTCAGTAAACCCTGAAAAGGAAGTCACAGTAACCTCGGGTTGTACTGAGGCCATTGCAGCCACCATGTTGGGGTTAGTTAACCCTGGTGATGAAGTAATCGTTTTTGCACCTTTCTATGACATATATGAGCCCACTGCATTAATGGCAGGGGCTAAAATCAAGGCCATCAATCTCCGACCCCCCGACTTCTCGGTCCCAATCGAAGAGTTAAAGTCAGCCTTCTCTACACAAACCCGAGCAGTTTTGATCAACACCCCACATAACCCCACTGGGAAAATGTTCACCAGAGAAGAACTTGATGCAATTGCTTCTCTTTGTATCGAGAATGACTCTTTGGTTTTCACTGATGAAGTATATGACAAGTTGGCCTTAGAGGAGGATCACATATCAATGGCTTCTCTTCCTGGTATGTATGAGAGGACAATCACCATGAATTCTTTGGGGAAGACTTTCTCTCTCACTGGTTGGAAGATAGGTTGGGCTGTTGCCCCACCCCACCTAACATGGGGTGTGAGGCAGGCCCACTCATTCCTCACATTTGCAACGTCAACGCCCATGCAGTGGGCTGCTGCTGAAGCACTTAGGGCACCTGACTCTTACTACGAGGAGTTGAAGAGAGATTACAAGGCGAAGAAGGCGATATTGGTGAATGGTTTGAGAGAGGTGGGGTTTACGGTTTACCCATCGCAGGGGACGTTTTTTGTTGTGGTTGACCACACGCCATTTGGGTTTGAAAGTGATATTGAATTTTGTCAGCATTTGATAGAGCATGTTGGGGTGGTTGCCATACCAGCTAGTGTGTTTTATTTGGATCCCGAGGAGGGTAAGAAGCTGGTGAGGTTTACTTTTTGTAAGGATGAGGATACGTTAAGGAAGGCAGTGGAGAGGATGAAGGAGAAGCTAAGGAGATGAGGAGCTAATTTAATCATTTTGGTTTAAGATTTATGGTTCTGGTTATTGTGCGCGTTTATGATACTAGTGGCATAGCCAAGGGGTGTATTGAAAGCAGTGGTAAATCTGATGGGTCCTTGTTGAATAAAAATTTCAAGCGGATGCTTGGTTGGTTGGGTGGGTATGGGTTGTTGGCGTTGTTGCCATTGAGTCGATTGAGAAAAATACAAGGGCGGTGGGAAACTGGTATTTCTAGGTCATGTTTGGTAATTAGAAAAGGGGAAAAATTCTCCTATTTTCTCCAATACTGTAGCTATCTGAAGTTTGGAGATTGAGGAAAGAAATTAGAAATAAAAATAAGATGGCAAGAAGGAGAAATGTCTTTGTGGAGTATCCTCTCTCTCCCACAAATCTCCTCACTCTTTCTCCGTCTCTTATAACTCGAGTGTTTCTCTCTCTCTCTCTCTCTCTCTCTCTCTCTCTCTATTCTTATTGTTCTCTAATAAGTGACTGGCTTTGGGTTTATGGGATTTTCTATGAAGGCTTCTCGCTTTCTTTCCTCCCTCTATTCCTAGCGATTTATGGAACAAGCGATAACACCTTGCAGGGCAACGCCAATTTTCTCGACCTGCTTTCTTCAAAACTCAAGTTCTCTCCCTCCCCTTGAAGGAAAAATCGATTCAGAATGGTTGGACATGGGGCCTTAAGTGGTTCTTTTGTATTATCCGGTAAACCAGTCTAATTAGTCAAGTTTCGGACGATCAAAAAAGTGTTAAAAAAATAAAAATATAAAAAATTTTAAAAAAATATAAAAAATATATTTAAAGTATGATTAAGCAATGTACATTCAAACACAGTTGAAAAGTAATAAATTTTTTTTTTTTCAAATAATAGATTTGTATTTAGAGGTATTTTTAATTTTTTTAAAAAAAAGATAAGAAAATATAAAAATAAATATTATTGGCCAAAACAATTTCTAATATTTATCAAAACGATGAAAAACATTAAAAAAATACATTACAAATAAAATCCCTTATTTTTTGGGATTATATATATATATATTTTATTTTTTAAAAAAATATCCAGCCGATTCAACAAAACCAAACGAAATCTGAACTGGCCAGTGGTCGATCTAACTGGGCAGTTCTGATTTGAACCGCTCGATTTTTCTTACACGGATTTAGATTCAGTGTTGAAGGGGACTCATTTTGACCAAATCTAAGGCACAAAATGAATTCTTTTTTTTAGGATTGATTATTAGTTCATACAAATGCCACAAACATAGTTTTTCTAAACTATGATTTCATTATATTAAAGTGGTATGGCAACATGAAATCATTTTTGTGCGTGTGTGTGGATATATATATATATGGGTGTAGTTGGCATACGGATACATCCGTAGCTGTCGAGGTAAGGTGCACTTTCAAATTTTACCATGGTATATAAGATATAAAATGCTCTTAGGATTATCTCAAAATCTATTTTAATATCTAATTATAAAAATTTTAAATTAAAAAATGGTTAAAATCAAGTAGATCTATAAACATATGAAAATCTTGAAAATGGACGGTGTAGATAATATGTTGTAAAATGCACTATTTTTTAGACTTAAAATCTTTTTATTTTTCATGGCCATACATCTCGATGTCGAGATGATCAATCAAAGGGTTTTTCAACATTAAAACTACATTTCCTGATGTGCATCTGTAGTTCTACATTATAAGGTTGCATCATATATATATCGGGATATTAGCTGTCAAAGAAATATTTATCTAAAGGGTAAACAAATGAATTTTTTTTTTAAACTACACAATTATTATGGAAAAGAGATTGATTTTCTTGATTGTTGAGGATACTCATTTTGAGTCTTTTCACCCCTCGTGACTTTTCCAAAGACTTAAGAGCATCCATGGGAGCAGTTATCATATAAAAATATGAAAAAAGGTTTATATAAGGTTGCAACTGTAGAATTAACGATATATCTTAAAAATCAACCAGAAAAAGTTGTTTTAACGTTGAAAAATCCTCTAATCGATCGTCTTGATATCGAGATGTATGATATGAAAAAAAAATAAAAAAATATTTAAGTCCTACAAATAGTGCATCTTGCAACACATATCTAGACCGCCCATTTTCAAGATTTTCATATGTTTATATATCCACTTGATTTTAATCATTTTCTTTACCATTTTTTTAATTTCAAATTTTATTCTCGGTGTTGGAAATTGATTTTAGAGCCATCATTGAGATTTTCATTGCCGACAGTGCTTTTCGAATGAGGATTTGAGGTAAGGCTTTAATTTGTTTTCATAACGCTTAATCCTTGTGGAAACCTTATCCATCTGAGTAATAATATGGCAGCCATTACCGCTATAGTCACTCATGCTTGGAGCTTCTAGTCCTACAGTTATAATCATGTCCTTAAAAGCAATAGCTTGGTGGAGTCGATCGAGCAACAAAGTCTTATCATCATTGAGTAGGTGGAGCATAGTTAGCAAGTCTCTATTTAAAACATGATTTTTTAAAAAAATCGGCAAATTTTTGAAAAATTTGTGCTTTTAGAGAAATATGAGGTCTTGCCCAAACGCAATTCCTCTTTATAGTGAACGAAGACCATGCATTTAATTAAAGGCGACATCTTGGTTTTTAAGAACTGAAAAATATTTTTATTGGTAAATTCATCATGTGAATCCAAAAATGTTTCAAAGAATTCAAATATCAAGAATAAAAAGTTTATACAAGGTTGCAACCTTGTAGTGAGGTGTAACTCAAAAATCCTCTACAGGAGTGTTATAATATTGGAGATCACTCCAATTGATCATCTCGACCTCAAGATGCAAGGATAGGAGAAAAAAAAAAATTAAAGTCTTAAAAATAACACATCTTGTAAAAGTCATCTCGATCGTCTATTTTCAAATATTTATAGATATGCTCAATTTGTATCATTTTCAAAATTTTAAATTTCATAACTAAGATACAAATAGATTTTTAAAGCATCATAAGATTTCTGACACCAAAATTACTATCTCCAAATAAATTTTAGAGGTCCACTATACTTCTACATAATAAAGATAACACCCTGTACACTCCTCATCGTATAAAGAATGCTCCCAAGTGGGTGTTTCGTGCATTGTTTGGACTCTTAAGAGTATCACGGATTTAACCTTTTTAATTAGAAATGGAAAAAAATAAAAAAGTAAGGGAGAGATGCTTTCTCTCATGAAGAGACAAATACAGGATTCCAACCTTAGCGGCGCTTAAGCTCTTGTCAACCTCGAATCGATTGCTGTTAATAAAAGAGCTCAAAAGATATTCTACTCCCTCGGGAGTAATTGTTTATTTAATCTGTCAGTTAAAACCTTACCTAGGATTAGTTTTAGGATCCCAAAAGTAGGGATGTAATCCCTTTTACACATAGATTAACCTCAATAAAAAAATTACCTAATTGCACCCTCTAAGAACTTGAAAAAACAAATGTCTCAAGATTGAATGGAGACGGTTCAATTTTCACAAGGTGGGATCTAAGTGTTACAAAACTCAAATTCTAAAATTTTATGTTTAAGAATAATCATCAAGTGATTCTAAGGTGATTACCAAAAATTCAGACTGAAAGCATCCTCCCAAGTACGTCATCTGTCCGAGGGAGTAGAAATAAACTATGCTCCCGAAGGAGCATAATATATGTTCTCATAAAAGATGTGGACAACATTATTATTGCTCCTATGAAATGTCCACAACACTGTTTACCATGGTATCAAGACTACATGTGTACCCTATCCATACCATGGAAGCATGTAATCCTCCTCCATGGTCGGCACCAATCAAATTTCATTAGCCCCATGTGGGGCTCAATCCATTCCATGAGATAAAAAGATGTTGAGAATATTGCGATGGCTTTTGGATGGATGCTCTTTTCTTCACCTTTTGATTGAGATTTCTTTTTCTTCTGTTTTTTTCATATGGAAAGGCCGCCCCATGCTCTATGGCTCATGAGTGCAGCTTTTTAGAGCGTAAGGCATTTTGCCCACTTTTGTATAAGGTAAAAAGCCTATCACACACTAGTGCTTATCTTACATCAGGCTCCAAACTCAAACCTCGGAAAATACCAGATCGTTTTGATGAAATCAAACAAGTAAATGTTCCGATGTGGAGAGGCATCAATGAGTGTTTTGGTAAAGGAAGAAGTTTTTGTAGGGCCTAGGTTTTAAGAAAATAAATAAAACCTCACCTCAAATCTTTATCCGGAAAGCACTTTGGGCATCGGAAATCTTTATGATGGCTCTAAAATCAATTTCCAATGTTAAGAATGAAATTTAAAACTCAACAAAGAGGTACAGATCTTGCAGATATGTTAACACTTATTTTTTAAGGAGAAATGGATGGTTTAGATGATTTGTTGCAATTTCCGTTATTTTTAGAACTTGAAATCCTGATTTCTTTTTTTTTCAAATTTAAAAGTTTTTCAATACTTCAATTGCAACTTTGATGTGTCATGAGGTGACACTTCTTATTTTGATAGCCCAATCAAACCATTTTCCTTTGGTAAATTCACTAGTTCGAGTGAGAGAAGGAACGTGAGCTCTCTTGAGGCAAGCAGTTCTTGTTTGGAACAAGCTATACAAGGCATGCCAACGAAAGAAACCAATGAAAGGAGTTACCCATCCCTCACGTATTTAACAAAATATCAGTTTGAGAGAAGGGCCATAAAACTACTCACCATACTTTATGAGATGGAATGTTAGATAGTCAAGAAACATCATATCTATAGTATGGTATAGGTAAGATAACGATGTTGAGATGGATGAACGACAAAACAAGTAAGAAAAAAAAGGATCGAATTTAGAATGAATACATTTGGGGCTATTTAAAGGTAGTTTCAATAGACGATAAGATGAGAGAAAGTAAATTTAGATGTTTTGACTATGTGCAGTGTCACCTAGAACAACACTATTTAGGGAAGGTGATTTCGTTCAAGTAAAAAGCCCTAAAAGGCCAAAGAAAGACCCAAAAGGACAATGATAGAATGAAAAGAGATGACTTATAGTTTGACTGAGGATATAGCCCTTGGTAGAGCAAAATGACATAATAGGATTTATGTAGTCGACTCCAAATTATTGAGATAAACTTGGATGATGATGACGATCTTACAACATAGGCCACTCATAATCTTCTTAGGGGTCAATGTCTTGACAATAAAGTACAAATGCTTATATTTACTCCAAATTGATCGTTGTGCTTAACATTTTTCTATCTTTTGAAAGTATGGCTTAGGAGGTTTCATAGAAGGTTTGTGAACTAAATGTAGAGAAAGATGGATGCCACAATACCGGAACAATCCACATCCCAATTAGTGTAGCAATGTCACACTAGCCCAAGACTCACAAACAAATAGAAAGAAGAAAAACTCCCATTGAAAGATGAAAAATGGGGTA